ACTACCACTACCACGACTACCACTACTACCACTACTACTACTACTACTACTACTACTACTACTCATACACAGCAAGCCTGACGTTTTTTCGTCCGATAAGAGCCCACCAGTCCTCGGAAGCTGAAAGCCTCGTGGCCCAACCATGTATGAACCCGCGTCTCCGATCGTTTAAAGATTTGTGTAGAACACTGGAGCGCAAGCCCCGGATTTGACATCGAGATACATCGAGAATCCCTGAAGCCCCTGCGAGCCCCACAGCCCATGCAATGTCCATACACAGTAGTCGTGCCAGGTCTCGGACCGTGTGGATGAGTCGTGCGAATTCCTGGCACAAGGGCCTGTTGTTCGATGGGTTGAAGAGCTTGCTATTTCCGGGGAAGGTCTTCGATCGGTGTTCATTCATTGAAACCGTACCAGAGGTAGACAGATTCTTGCTTTGCACAGCCGGGATCGCGGCCCCCTCCGTTCATAAGGTACAGTAGAGTTCCTAGAATCGAGGCATCGGCTTGAGCCTTTGAGTTTGTCGGGATTTGAACGTGCTGACGTGTAGGGCTCGTGGGTTTGATGGAGTTGTTCAGTTTGGGAGCGAAACTCTAGACTGTAGACTCCCCCGCTTAGTTGAAATTGAAGAAGGAGAGGACACGGCCATTAATGGCTCTGAAGCATGCCAAGACCCACACCGTTTGTCGTAGGCTCGGGGCGATGGGCATTTGTGTGGCAGTTGCGAGCGTCTCAATCTTTCCACCTTTTCGGAGTGGACATGCTGAGGCGCATGGATTGCTAAGGCTCCTATTGGCCCCAAGGGGACTCGAAAGATCCCCCACAACCCCAGCTCTGTTTGGTCCCACATCTGCGATGCCCCAAAGGACTTTTCAGCTGTGCTCAGAAGGGCAGAGAGGATGGCAGAGGGCTCTTGCTTCAGCCAGGCCGAGCTGTTGGCTTTCTGCCAGGGAGGAGATGCTACCATCAGCGAGGCTTTCGGCTGGGTTGGGAAGGTTGAAGATCTGGTGTTCAAACCTGGCGGACAGGGTGCCAGGAGGCCTGCGCAGAAGTTGACGCGGGTTTTGGGGGGTTTTGCTTTCTTGGTTTTGGGCCCAGATGTGCACCGAGGCTCTGGGGATCAGAACGCGCACTGACATTATGTGCTCCGATTGCAAAGTTGAGCAGGGCTCCCCACAAAGCACTGAGGTTTTGTAGGAGAGCTTCTCAGGGAAGGATTGGGTTTGGAGCTGTACCAAGTGCAGGGCTAGGACCCAAATGGTGACATGCGCCATTTTGGTATATCTGCCAGGTATTGTATGATGCCAATCATTTCGCAATGCAAATTATTCTGCTGCAGTAGACCTGGCCCAAACCCGAATGAACACCCCGAAAGGAGATCTCCCGAACACGGATACTGTGCAGAACAGAGGAGGGAGCACGTTTGAACTCATTGGAGCTTTGGAAATCCCAGTCTGCAAAAGCTGAATGAACCCGTCCTTGGAAGCGGCTTATCGTTAGGCAAATCAGTTGAATTATATTGAAGTTACCAGCTAACGAAGCTCTTTTTGACCATTTGTTCGAAGTGTGGTGATTTCCAAACTAATTCCAGTGTCCCTTCTTCTGAGGATCTGATGTGGCAGTTACCCCCGCAAGAATGGCCAGGTTTTAGGAATTGCTGAATCCAAGATGCATGACTTGTGTGTAATGTCCTGCTTCAGGATATGACGGATTGTCAGGAGTCAAACTGCTTCCTGTAGCACGACGAAATACTAGACACCAATATGTGCCGAACATTCGAGAGACCCAAGCAAAGGAATGCTGAATATACCATTGTGATGGAGCGGTGTGAGAGCTGAAATATCACCCGAACACAAAGGGCCGCATGCAAGCAACAAGCCATGTAGCTACAAGATTGCAAACTTTGCCATCCACACTGGAGCAAAGCCTCCTAGAGGGATGACGGACTCTGATACCGACGTCCGAGAATGTTCCCTTCCGACCCATTCTTTGCTCTGGCCTGCCGCCGGCGATGGATGCAGCGACTCTCGCCTGGCAGGTCCTTGAACTTGGCTTTGGTTCGCATCGTATATAGTTGCAGTAGTAGTCGTCACGGCTGTTGTAGAAGTGGTCGCATAGCAGCTGCAGCAGCACGAACACTGGCAGCAGGAGCAGGAGCAGCAGCAGCAGCCGTAGTGGCGACGTCGTGGTAGTTGTCGTCGTCGTCGTAGTCGTAGTCGTAGTAGTGGTCGTCGTCGTCGTTGTGGTAGTCGTCGTCGTCGTAGCCGTAGCCGTTGTCGTAGTCAGTAGTCAGTAGTCAGTAGTCAGTAGTCAGTAGCAGTAGCAGTAGCAGTAGCAGTAGCAGTAGCAGTAGCAGTAGCAGTAGTAGTAGCAGCAGCAGCGGCAGAGCAGCAGTACTTACTAGCATTAGCGGTAGTTGTGCGAAGTAGTAGAATTCTGGTGTGGTATTTTGCAGCACGCTGCCTTTATGATTGATGTCCGAGGTATCACCAAACCAGCAGGTCTGCAGGACCAAAGATCTTGCGCGGCGGCTTCCGTGACCTGGAGATTAAAGACTTCCGGTCAGGCTTCTTTTTCAGAGACTGCAGGTTCTGGGGCTTTCTGACGTGAGCTTCGTGATGGTTTAAGACCACCCGCCGACGGCAAACGAACATCCAAGCCAATGTCAACTTGGAGCCGGTAGAGGCAGCAAAAGCAGTATGTCGTGCTCCACCTGTTCATGCAGCTCGTATGGGTTCGCGGTAGTAACCTTTCTGCATAACATGTATATCTCAGCTGATAAAGTTCAGAAACTGCCGGGCTGTCGAAGATCGCAATATCCACAGATAGGAGATGCCTGGTGATTTGGGAATTCGGATCGAAGCAAAGGACGTGGGCATATTGGATGGTGTGGTGGCGGCATCTATTTTGCCTTGAGCGCCGGGGCCACTTACCACAAAGCTGTTGGAACCTTGGAGGATATCGTCCCCAATGCTTTTCATCCGCGGTTTGCAGATAAGAAGGAAGGCTCAGGAGGCTTTTGGTTCCCCTGCGTGTCTGACAGAGAATGGCAGTGGGCCAGAAGTTCTCACCCGCCTCATCCCAAAGCCAGCCTCTCTGCACATGTTGCGATGCCAAGCTCAGGAGTGAACTCGGCCCATGGCTTCATCATTGAAGCAAAAGTCGACCTCGGCCGCACCAAGCACATGCCCGCCCAGTGCGACTCGATTGCTTAGTTGAAGCAACGACAGAGAAGACAACAAAATCCACACCAACGTGACGATGGATCTTTAGGTTTTCTGGGCGAGCGTACGTCAGCATCATGTGCACAATTTCGTCCTGATGACTTCTACAGCATGTCGCTTCCGAAAGCATCGCCTCCGTCTGAACAGGCGTGCCACAGATTTGTTTAGGGCGCGGTCATATGAACCATCTTGACAGTAGCAGCCAAAGCTGAACCACGAGCAACACACCAAGAGCGAAGCTTCGGATCGCCGTGAGGCATCGCTGTGCAAAAAGAGAAATTGTGAAACTGCCTGCCTGAATAGTGGCAGTTCAGCAAGCCATACGATAAACTCCAGAAGCATCGGTAGTAAGAAGCAGAACCACATTGTGGCGCAAAGAAGCATGTAGCTATACAGTAGACATCCGACGGGTGCCTCTAACATGTAATAGGCAGCACCGGCGTCCTGCAACTTTGCACCCGCCAGTTAATACCGTAGGATGCCACTGTATAACATATGTACCGTATGCGGGGGACGCCCTCGGGTTCGTCGAAGGGTGTGAAATGAAAAATGCAGTGCTGGATGGAACTATTTTGCGGGATTTAGCATCATGCTAAGATGAACACGGTAGACAGTGAGATGGAAAGCAATCATAACAAGCAGAAGGCACGATTCTGCTCTGACATGCTTCGTGGATACTCTGGCCACTCACAAGACTCACAAGGTCGGTGATTCCACTTGCCAAAGGAAACAAGGTGATTATCTCCGACCATTCCAGCCCAAAAACCAAACACTTGTTGAGATACATGAGATAAATGTTTGGCTAGTTGAAAACTTAAGCCCAAGGGCAATGCATTCTGTCGGCCGGCCCCATCAGCAGCCGCGTTTTCTCGTACACTCGTACGCCTGAGTTGCCAGCTAGAGTAGTCTAGCGTTCGGCAGTCGTTCGGCTATCACACAGTTGCCTTTAAGAAGTTCTTTGCCCGCAAGCACCGGTGCCCGAGGCACTTCCTCTCGAAGATGCTGGGGCATCCCACTCCAGAATGCCATCCGCTGCATCGACCATTCCTACCAGGGAGGCGAGGACAAACCTTCTGCAATGATGCCTATCCAACCTCAGATCCTGCTAGGAATGCCCATCTCCTCCGTATCTGGCAGCGCGAGGGTCGTTTTCCAACCTGTTCCGGAGGGTTCTTGCAGCCGCTGTCTGTTTGCGGCGTGTGACTGTGGGGGGCTGTAAGTTGTCCGCTGACTTGAAAAACCATGCTGTGCCTTGCAACTCATGCACGACTGGTTGCCAGCCTTCGGAATTACTGTTAAATGGTTCCAACAATATTGTGATTGTGCTTGCAATTTCTATCTGCTTTGCCTTGAGCAGCCCAGGAGAGAAGCCTAACAGTCAAGGGTTCAAGTTGTAAGTTTGGGCGTGAGCTGTAGATTCGCTTATCTATCTTCTATTCATGTTCGTGCGTCGCAGAAGCTAAAGGGCTGCAAAACCTCAAAGTTGTGCAGAGATGAAGACGAGAAAAGTTTTCGTGCTTCAAAACTGGCTCTCTACTATGCCAGGCCATTTCCAGGGGCAAGGATGCTTGGCTGCGCCACAATGGAAATTGTACGAGAATCGGGTTGACAAGTAGTACGTAGCTTTGCCATCGGTGCTCCTTATCACGGACTGCTTGCATGTGATACTGAAAATGAGCACATGATTTCCGGTCAGTGTATTGAGATAGTTCTCAGTATGGCTGGCGGGGCTGGGAGGAGGAAGATGGAGGTGTTGCTTGATGTGCAGCGCGTGGCAGGCGAGGTTCTTGAACATGTTGGTATGTCCGTGCAGATGGGTACCTCGAGTCATTTGAGTCGGTGAAAGCCTCACCGTTCCGAGGATATAACTCGATCTATTTCAACCCCGGCGATGGCGGAGAGTACGTGATCTGGGATCCCCGCCGGGTGATTTCAATGCGACAAGTTCGCTAAGTGCGGACTACATGTGTGGGGAGCTGTGGCCGAAGGTCTACACTCCACGCGCTGCCATGCCGCACTCAGCCGAATCAGGCAGAGCAGCGGTCCGAAAACTTTGTTCTACAAGAATTGATATCATTCATCATCTAACGTCTGCCCCATGCTAAAACAAGCACAGAAATCATTTTAAATTAAAATAAATTGATCATATGAGATCTATATATATGAAAAATTCTAGTATTAAGACTCAAAACATGAATATTTAATCCTCAAATCTAGTCGAGATAAATATTTAAATATATAGAGTAAAGAAGATAATAGGGATATCACTGTCTTATGATTGATATAGAAATTTCTATAATTGATTTTTGATTTAATATTTTGATATTCTTTTGAAATTTTATAAGTGAATTTATTCTCTGACTCAAGATAGATATTCATTTTCCTATAAAAAAATTTGATTTCATCGGGATAGGAGAAATATACAAAATGGAATGGATTTCTTTTGTTTTTTAATGGAGAAAATAACTATGCTGAATTAAAAAAATATCATGATAATTTATGATAGTTTTTCTATATTAGAAAATTTCATATTAATACATATTCTGGATGAAAACATCTTGGTCTTATCTATG